TTAAAGGGTTTTTTGGGGAGTTTTTCCTTATCCACTGCGAGGGTCCAAAGGACAGAGGGATGTCGTATGCTGTAAAGCCCTGTGAGGCAAATTGTGATTTGTGATATTGGGCTTTATAAATAAAATTGATTGATTGATTGATTGACATCCCTTGCGGAGATCAGCGGGGGGAGCGGCTAGCACACCTAATGGCTTACGGCACCCCAGACTAATTTCCAAGAACATAAAATTGAAACCACGAAATATCTCCAACATGCTCATCTGTAGTGATCTAAGTGTGCTGAAGCCTCGACATAAAAAGTTGTTTGGAAAAACGTCATATGAACTCTGTTTTTAGCCTCACTGTAGCCTGTAGCTCTGACTGCTTCTCTGTGCTCCGTGTTCACGTGCGCGCTTGCGCGAGACCAGCGAAAGCACACCCATGTTTACATCACGTGACACGTGCACAGCAGGGAGAGACAACAGTAACCACAGTAGCTAAAAAATAATTTGCACCATGGTCTTTTAGCAAAGGACAGCCCAACATGTCTGAAGACTTTGAAATTGAGGAGGAACAGCATTTCTTTGTTGAGCCGTATTTGTTTGAGCCCGAGTATACGGACGGAACTCAGGCTACTGGACGAAGCAGCCGCCGCAGCTCATGAGCCTAACCCTCAGCCAGCCGCAGAATACCGGAGTCGAGCACTGGAAACTTGGTGGTGTAGTTGTTTCAAATGCAAAGCAATGCCAACGGATGAGGAAAGTCTTTGCTGCTCAGACTGGGAATTGGCGATGCCTGCACTTAAGAATCTGGACATCAGTACTGACGAGACTGCTGCTCTTCAGAGACCGTGCATCACCGATCACCCTGAGTTTCCAGCACTACTGACCCGTGGTGTTCTGGAGACATTTTTTTACTTTCCCAAGATCAACTGGAAGAAAAGGCAGAGGCCCGCAGGACCAGATGGCAGGCTTTCAGAGGAGTAAGTCATTCATTTCTACCGTAGTTCAGGCGGACAATGGCGTTGGTCCCAGATATGTGGTTACTGTTGTCTCTCCCTGCGGTGCACATGTCACTTGATGTAAACACGGGTAAGCAAAGCTTGTGCTTTCGCTGGTCTTGCGCATGATGTTTTTCGAAACAACTTTTTATGTCGGGGCTTCAGGACACTTAGATCACTATGGATGAGCATGTTGGAGATACTCTGTGGTTTCAATTTTGTGTTCTTGGACGTTAGTCTGGGGCATCGTCTGCCATTAGGTGTGCTAGCTGCTCCCCCCGCCGATCTCCGCAAGGGATGTGAGGACTCTTAAACTTCACCAGAGCCTCCCTCGGCATATGGGTGAGTAGATAATGGCTGAATTTTCATTTTTGGGTGCACTATCCCTTTAAGTTTCTTGTTTTCCAGTGGCATTTCAAACTGACAGCATCTGGTGACATTATAAACTGTCAGGCTTTTCTCGTCTGTGTCTAACATGGAAATTGCTGACCAATTAGTGGTATTTGACAACTGGGTGATAAGAATTCATTCTAAAAAAAGGTTCTCCATCAACATGTATGTTCACTTACCAGCAACAAGGTGAAGATGAGATTCTGTGTTTTTACTTGGAACGAAGCATCTGTACTGTCCCTCATCAGAGATTTTGACGTGGGAAAGCATCAGTGAAACATCTCCATATTTCAGTCCATCAGAGGACACTGATGTTCTTCCCTTGTAGGCTGGATTCTGATCACGCAAATGGTCTTCACCAGACCGCCTCACATGGACAAATCTCGGGTTCAGGTCAGGTCTTGACCACTCCAGCATCTCGTTAACGACATCCGTGGCAGCTTTCACATGGCATGGCAAAGTGATGTCATTACCGACTATTGCCACTATTGGCTGAAGTTGACCAATGGCCTGAGACTGACCTGAGGAAGAAGCATCTGTTTGTTAAAATTCCTACAGTAGTAACAGATGACTAAACTTTTTAGTTAACAGGCTAACATTTTGGTGATCTAAGCAGATATAATGTTTACCATGGTCAGCATGTCACAGTGTTAGCATGCTAACACAGCATTTTTTTTTTTTACATTTTATTTTTCATTTAAGATTGTTGTAAGTCTCAAGGAATTATGTATCTATGTGCCACCCCAAAAAATATGTTTAGACATTTCATGAACTAATTTGTACTAAAATGTGCATCACACATCTTTGGCCTCACCTTTCACTCAAAATGTTGTTAAACCTCAATAGCAATGGTTTGTCTTGAGTGCACTTAGCTTGGCTTGCTTCTAAATCCAAAAAAGTAAGTCTTGGAGAAAAAATAGAGAATTCAAAAGTGTGCTGACAGATTCATTTGCTTTTACTGCCATCTCTGCAAAGTTAGAGTTTAAAAAAAAAAAAAAATCACAAATAGCCCACTGCAACAGAGCCATCTTGTGTAAACCCTATTAATGAACGCCCATTTAGAGCATTTAGTGACTCTAATCAGCAGATAGGCTTATTTAGACTTGAGAATCTGTGTTACCTGCACAAACAAGCTCAAATAAGTTTTGCGGCTCTAGGCAGATACCTTTCCCTTGATAGTTAAGGTTGTCAAACCCCTGAGTTAGAGGACCACTAAAGTCATTAAGAATCATCCTTTTGGAAGTTTGGATATCTAAACAAACGTCATGGTTACCTATCCCATAGTGGTTGAAGTATTTCAGGTTAGATCAAAGCGGTGGAACGACCAACTGGCTGACAGACTGACATTACCATCAATCTAATCATTCCATGGCTAGAAAAAACAACTCTGAATCCATAATTTGTTTCCAACACAGTCTAAGTATGTATTCAACAGTAGACTCCAGCCACTGCACATCTGAAAGGACAACCAACAGCTCTCCACTCCAATAAACTGCACAGCTTCACACTGGAAAAAGTCAATGACAAACTTGTACACCATAATCCAGTCTTTCTAGGGTTATCTTATCTAACTGACCTGCCAAAGTCAAACAAGCCATATCAATCAAACACACAAGATATTTTCACTTTCATTTTCACCACTGAGCTTCAGTGATAATGTGGTGCCCTCCAGTGTGGCTGAACTGCAACAGATGAGATTGTGTCTGAGTTTAAGTTTGGAGAAATGTCTTTTTGTGCCAATAAAATGGCAATATTGTGCAACAGTTGTTACACAGAGTGCATGGAGCACAGTACTGAGCACAGCACTATGTGTTTAACATTGTAAATAATATAAGAAAGTTCCAAAGTATCATCCCTACAGAGTCAAAAAGCAGTGCTGGTATTGATAAATATAATAGCACTTACATTTACCATTTTGTATTCACCATAAGCAATAATAAGGATTTTGGTGCCTGCATACATTGCCAATCATAGTGTCATGATAACATTTAAATTAAAAGGTCAGAACTGGTATCAATTAAAATCCAAATGCCTCAGATATAATCATCTGCTCTGTTTACGTCTGTTACGTCTGTTTTGACGTATTGCGGTAAGCGAGTTGTGTCATTTCCGGTGTTTCTGTGACAGTGTCTCTGTACTGCTCTGGTGAATTCTGCTAGCCTGCTTTCTCACCTCAGTTGCTTTAACGCTGCTTTAACGTCTACTTCAAGTCATAACCCACACTGGTTCTGTTTAAGCACTTATAGCTCTCCTTCTTTCTACGACTTTCTCGCTAATCTCTTAGCTGTTGTTTGCACGCTCTTAGCCTTGTTAGCTACTTTAGCTTAGCCATGGCTTCTCCTTCTCCTGCTCTTTCTTGCCCGGTGTGCCAAATGTTCAGTTATGCCTCTGCCTCCTTTAGCGACAGTGGTAATTGTAATAAGTGTAGCTTATTTGCTGCGTTGGAGGCGAGGCTTAGTGAATTAGAAGCGCGGCTCCGCACCATGGAAAACCATTCAGTAGCTGCGGTAGTTAGCCAGCCCCCTGTAGCCGGTGCGGAGCCACATAGCATAGCCTTAGCCTCTGCTAACTGTCCTCCGGTAACTCCCGTTCAGCCGGGAGGTTGGGTTACGGTTCGCCAGAAGCACAGCTCCAAGCAGAAGCCCACGGCTCACCACCAGCCTGTTCACGTTTCCAACCGCTTTTCCCCACTCAGCGACACACCCGCTGAGGATAAAACTCTGGTTATTGGCAGCTCTATTCTGAGGAACGTGAAGTTAGCAACACCAGCGGCCATAGTCAAATGTATCCCTGGGGCCAGAGCGGGCGACATTGAATCAAATTTAAAACTGCTGGCTAAAGCTAAACGTAGATTCAGTAAGATTGTTATTCACGTCGGCGGCAATGACACCCGGTTACGCCAATCGGAGGTCACTAAAATTAATATTGCCTCGGTGTGTGAATATGCAAAAACGATGTCGGACTCCGTAGTTTTCTCTGGACCCCTCCCAAATCTGACCAGTGATGACATGTTTAGCCGCATGTCATCATTTAACCGCTGGCTGTCCAGGTGGTGTCCAGCAAACGATGTGGGTTTTGTTAATAATTGGCAAACTTTCTGGGGAAAACCTGGTCTTATTAGGAGAGACGGCATTCACCCCACTTTGGATGGAGCTGCTCTCATTTCTAGGAACCTGGCAAATTTTATTAGTAATTTAAATCCCTGACAACCCAGAGTTGAGACCAGGACAGAGAGTTGCAGTCCTAAACGCCTCTCTGAGCTTCTAGTTCAGTTACCCAGCCATAGTTTTCATAGTTTTATACAAACGGTGTCTGTCCCCCGACCACCTAAATTATTTAAATCTAAAATTAAACAAAGAGGAGTTGTGCATAACAACCTCATAAAAATTAAAACCTCTTCTGTGACAGAAAGACAAAACAGGAGAATTAAATGCGGACTGTTAAATATCAGGTCTCTATCGTCTAAAGCAGTGTTAGTAAACGAATTAATATCAGATAATCATATTGATTTACTCAGTCTCACTGAAACCTGGCTGTGTCAAGATGAATATGTTAGTCTAAATGAGTCCACTCCTCCCAGTCATAATAATACCCACATTCCTCGAGGCAGCGGCCGAGGAGGGGGAGTTGCAGCCATTTTTAACTCTAGTCTGTTAATCAGCCCTAAACCTAAACTAGATTATAATTCATTTGAAAGCCTCGTTCTTAGTGTTTTACATCCGACCTGGAAAACCTCGCAGCCACTTTTATTTGTTATAGTGTACCGTGCTCCTGGCCCGTATTCTGAATTTGTATCTGAATTCTCAGAGTTTTTATCCAGTTTAGTTCTTAAATCAGATAAAGTTATTATTGTAGGCGATTTTAACATTCATGTCGACGTTGATAATGACTCCCTGGCTACCGCGTTTATCTCATTAATAGACTCCATTGGCTTCAGTCAGGGTGTACATGAACCCACTCACTGTTTTAACCATACCCTCGATCTAGTTCTGACGTATGGAATTGAAATTGATAACCTAAAAGTCTTTCCACAGAATCCCTTGCTATCAGATCATTATCTGATTACTTTTGATTTCTTTTTACTCGATTACACGCCACTCAGCAACAGTTACTATACTAGATGTTTATCAGATAGTGCTGTCACAAAATTTAAGGAAAAGATTACTTCGTCGTTAAATTCAATACCAATACCTTCAGTAACAGAGGTTTCCCGTGCCGACTTTAACCTCTCCCAAATTGATCATTTTGTTGATAGCGCCGTAGGCTCGCTGCGAACAACGCTCGACTCTGTAGCTCCTCTTAAAAAGAAGTTAACAAAGCAAAGAAAGTTTGCTCCTTGGTATAACTCTCAAACCCGTAGGTTAAAACAAATATCGCGAAAATTTGAAAGGAATTGGCGATTAACCAAACTGGAAGAATCTCGTTTAATCTGGACAGACAGTCTCAAAACTTATAAGAGGGGCCTCCGCAATGCCAGAGCAAACTATTACTCAGCATTAATAGAAGAAAACAAGAACAACCCCAGGTTTCTTTTCAGCACTGTAGCCAGGCTGACTGAGAGTCAAAGCTCTATTGAGCCTTGTATTCCTTTAGCCCTTAGCAGTAATGATTTTATGAGCTTTTTTAATGACAAAATTCTAACTATTAGAGGCAAAATTCATGACCTCCTGCCCTCAGATGGTAGGCCTACCTATCTAACCTCAAACACAGCTGTAGAATCTAATATATATTTAGATTGCTTCTCCCCAATTTCTCTTCAAGAATTGACCGCAGTGATTTCTTCATCTAAATCATCAACGTGTCTCTTAGACCCCATCCCAACTAGGCTACTTAAGGAGGTCTTTCCTTTAGTTAACACTCATATATTAGATATGATCAATATATCCCTATTAACAGGCTATGTACCACAGTCTTTTAAGGTAGCTGTAATTAAACCTCTCCTAAAAAAGCCCACCCTGGATCCAGAGGTGTTAGCCAACTATAGACCAATATCTAATCTTCCCTTTATGTCAAAGATCCTTGAGAAAGTAGTCGCAGACCAGCTGTGTGATTTTCTCCAGGATAATAATTTATTTGAGGAATTTCAGTCAGGATTTAGAGTGCATCATAGCACTGAGACAGCTCTAGTTAAAATTACAAATGACCTTCTGATTGCTTCAGACAAAGGACTCGTCTCTGTTCTTGTTTTATTAGATCTTAGTGCGGCGTTTGACACAATTGACCATCAAATTCTACTGCAGAGACTGGATCACTTAATTGGCCTAAAAGGTTCAGCACTAAGCTGGTTTAAATCTTATTTATCTGATCGTTTTCAATTTGTTGACGTTCGTAATGAATCATCCTTACGTACCAAAGTTTGTTTTGGAGTTCCGCAAGGTTCTGTGCTCGGACCAATCCTATTTACTCTATATATGCTTCCTTTAGGTAACATCATTAGAAATCACTCTATAAATTTCCATTGTTATGCGGATGATACACAGTTGTATTTATCGATGAAGCCAGAAGAAAGTAATCAATTAACTAAACTCCATAACTGCCTTAAAGACATAAAAAATTGGATGAGCACCAATTTCCTGATGTTAAATTCAGACAAAACTGAAGTTATTGTTCTTGGCCCCAAACAACTCAGAGACTCTTTATCTGATGACATAGTTTCTCTAGATGGCATTGCTCTGGCCTCTAGCACTACCGTAAGAAACCTCGGAGTAATATTTGATCAAGATTTGTCTTTTAATTCTCATTTAAAGCAAACCTCACGGACTGCATTTTTTCATCTGCGTAATATTGCGAAAATTAGGCCTATCCTGACCCGAAAAGATGCAGAAAAATTGGTCCACGCTTTTGTTACCTCAAGGCTGGATTACTGTAACTCTCTATTATCAGGTAGCTCTAGTAAGTCCTTAAAAACTCTCCAGCTAATTCAGAATGCAGCAGCACGTGTACTAACAGGAACTAAGAAACGAGATCATATTTCTCCTGTTTTAGCTTCTCTGCACTGGCTCCCTGTAAAATCCAGAATTGAATTTAAAATCCTACTGTTAACTTATAAAGCTCTAAATGGTCAAGCTCCGTCATATCTTAGAGAGCTCATAGTGCCATATTATCCCACCAGAACACTGCGCTCTGAGAACGCAGGGTTACTCGTGGTCCCTAAAGTCTCCAAAAGTAGATCAGGAGCCAGAGCCTTCAGCTATCAGGCTCCTCTCCTGTGGAATCATCTTCCTGTTACGGTCCGGGAGGCAGACACCGTCTCCACATTTAAGACTAGACTTAAGACTTTCCTCTTTGATAAAGCTTATAGTTAGGGCTGGCTCAGGCTTGCCCTGTACCAGCCCCTAGTTAGGCTGACTTAGGCCTAGTCTGCCGGAGGACCCCCTATAATACACCGGGCTCCCTCTCTCTCCCTCTCTCTCTCTCTCTCTCTCTCTCTCTCTCTCTCTCTCACTCTCATCCTATTACTGCATCTTGCTAACTCGGCCATTCTGGATGTCACTAACTCGGCTTCTTCTCCGGAGCCTTTGTGCTCCACTGTCTCTCAGATTAACTCATATCGCAGCGGTGCCTGGACAGCGTGACGTGTGTGGTTGTGCTGCTGCCGTGGTCCTGCCAGATGCCTCCTGCTGCTGCTGCCATCATTAGTCATTAGTCATACTTCTACTGTTATTATACACATATGACTATTGTCACACATGTATACTGCCAGATATTAATACATACTTTCAACATATTGTACCACAGTAGCCAGAACTATAACTATAATATTATTACTTTCAATAATGTTGTTGTAAGCTACTGTCATTACCTGCATCTCTCTCTCTCTCTCTCTCTCTCTCTCTCTCTCTGTCTCATTGTGTCATATGGATTACTGTTATTTTATTATGCTGATCTGTTCTGTACGACATCTATTGCACGTCTGTCCGTCCTGGAAGAGGGATCCCTCCTCAGTTGCTCTTCCTGAGGTTTCTACCGTTTTTTTTTTTCCCCGTTAAAGGGTTTTTTTTGGGGGAATTTTTCCTTATCCGCTGTGAGGGTCTTAAGGACAGAGGGATGTCGTATGCTGTAAAGCCCTGTGAGGCAAATTGTGATTTGTGATATTGGGCTTTATAAATAAAATTGAAATTGAATTGAATTTATGTATTGCACTGTAAATTGTAACAGGAGTTGTTACCCACCTTTACAAAACCTGTACATCTCCCTGACACTGTCAGAGAGATGTTGATTGAACTGTATGTTTAATACTGAGGTCATAGTCAGTGTTAGTTTTGTATTGGGCTGCATTTTATTTAAAGACCACCATATTTAGTACATACATGAGGGAGGTAGAAGCAATAAATCTGAAATCCACAATTTAATTCTACAGTATTGACCTTAATCATCATATTAATGTATATGTTACCTCCTTGAAGGTGTGTTAGGAGAAGGAAGGCAACAGCATGATGGAGGATCAAAGCACTGAATACACTGAGTTGAGATTTACGGAACAGTCTGTGCACCTGCTGAGGCATCATGATGTGCTGGAAATTAAAATAAACCACAAAATAAATTCATAAAACGATCATGTACAGAAAATAAACATATTGATATCTCCAGTCAAAAATGTTATCCTTCCCGTTTAACCTTCAAACACTTATAAAAGGCTACTAATTAACTTCTTCCTTTTGAGATATATAGATGATGAACAAGACATGGAAGACATTTTCGCTACAGTTTTGAAGTGCTACATCCGCCCTGTGCTTGATAGAACCAAAAAATTATGGTTTCCTCTGAATTAAAAATCAAATCTCACCAGGAAAAGTTTAATTCGAAAGGAATGGCTTACCTTTAGTGTGTTTTCTTAGTCAGCGAGCGGCTTCACACACTGGGCAAGGTCCTTCCTTCAATCAAACAAACACTCTACTGTGCCTGCTCTGTCTTATTTACTGCCGCCCCTACACTCTGCCTATTAGACTCCAGTCTGTATGACCTGTTGTTAAACGGCTTAATGCACATCAACATTAATGGTTTTTACAACCAGACTTCCAAATATTCAGGAAAACACTTTACTTTGCTTGTTCTCAGGATGGGGAAGCCTCTAAAACAGCAATTAATCCAATAAATGTTGTCTCTTCAGGGTTAGCAGTATAACCTACAGATGTAATTACTGCACAGGTTAAACATAAGATTTCAACCTGCTATATTAAATTGTCAAACCAGTGATTGATGACCATCCATACTGTATTTGTCAGTATTATATTTGTGTTGCAGTATTTAGTTTGCTAACTTGTTTTTAGTGTCTTTTACTTAATATGTTACATATAAACAGGAGGCTGTACTTTGATCCGGTTGCCAGGTAGACGATCACCAGCAATATAAAATACTACACATAGTGAAATATGAAGCCAGAGGAACAGTATTAGTTTCTTTATTGCTTTGGCAACTTAATATGAAGCATGAGATGAATGACAGGTCTACAGGGGGCAGAGTAGGACCTCTTATTTATGTTCACACCATCTGTCTTAGATAAATGCTGCAGAAGTTTAAACAGGAATATATTTGACTCTTTTTCCACCCACTCCTGTGCAAAGTTACGCTCTAGCTCTTCCCTCTTTCCTTTACTGTCCAATCAGTGAAACATTTGGTTTGAATCATCCAATCAGAATGCCCAATGTTGCCACTTTTTTGTCCCATGTTTTAGGCACATGAGCAGCATGGCTCTGTGGTTGCCAGTGTCTGTCAGTACACCACTGTGTCGATGTTTACTGATGTTTACACTTGAAAACCTCAACCTGGCAAGCTAGCAGCTAGCTAGCAAAGGTAATCAGGAGGAGAGTTTATAGACCAGTGAGTTGACTTCCTCATCCCAATGAGTGACTCGCAGCCACACACCACCACTATCCAAAGCCAACCACAAAAAGCCTCAAAACAGACATAAGGGTCTAAATGTAGCAAAGATTTACCTGAGGTGACAGAGAGGTAATCATAAATGTCCGCACCATGTCACATTGTCCTGATGGCGCAAGTTTTTAGTTTGTTGGAAATTCAGTCAGTCCTAGAAACTAACACCACTATAATGTGTTTGTACCTCCCACAATGGGGATTTTTTTAAACCCTATCCTCTGCTTGACTGAATGCCTGTATCTTTTTGGACTATAATAATAAATGAAGAAAAAGCCAAGCTGCAGCTGCAGAGTGTTGCAGAACCTAAAGGGAATGGAAGTGCACACTACACATGATTTGTTACGCCCCTTTTGAGATAATTTATTATTCTAGAATACATCTGCCTCACTAGTACAAAAGCCACAATGTGCACAGGAAGAGGAAGTTCTCAACTGTATTATACTGTATTTAGCCTTGTATCAGCCTGATGCTCAGACAGTCAGCAAGACACCATGGAGGTTAGAGCACTCTGCATCAGACTGTGTGAGTACTACATTTGTCTTTTTTTCCCAGTGTCATATATATACAGCAACATTTAAGTTTTAAAGATAAATGAATAAGTTGAAAACATCCCTTTTGTTGTGTGTGTGTTTTTTTTTTATCTATCTGATTATGTACTTAATGAATTATAGAAGTTACTTTGTAAGAATCTACCCATTAAACAGATATCGCTTACAGTCAGTACTCAAAAATATAGCAACTTTCTACTTATTATAATTAGCATTTTAAGGGTCGTATAGCTGCACAAACTGCAAGTTAAGTTGTCCAACAATGATTAAGTATGTTTCAGTGATTAAATATTACTACAACATACAAAATAAAAACATCCATTTACACCACTCTCCTATTCTGTCTCTCCAGTGATGAATGTATTGATGCTGCTGGGTGCACAAGTGCAGCAAAGTTATCCTCAGACAGCTGGTAAGTAGCAGTTAGTTGTTCTCTACTGTTATCTTAGCCCTAATCCCCAAACCCAGGCCCTAACGCTAAAGCCAGCTTGACCTAAATCTAATGCCTGAATAACTCAGATACCATTAAAAGTTTATGCTTTGAACCCAAGAAGTTCAAGTTCTCTTCCTTTTTCTGTTAAAGGAGAAAAAATGGAGTAATGCAAATTACTCTTTCAATTATTTAGAACACCCAGGAACTTGCTATTATGCTGATGATGCTCTGCTAACATGCCAGTGGAAGGAGCAGGTATTTTAAACATTTTAGAAAACCCAACACATTCTACAAAGTAGAGGTCTGCATACTGTCTCTTTCGAAATATACGCACTACGCCTGTACAACACCACATATTGATGTTTTTTTCCTCCAATAACAGAAACATGTGGTCAGGTTTAGGAAAAAAGAACAGGGTTTGGCTTTGAAATCTTACGGGACGCAAACACCTCTCTCTCATGTGACAGCAGGTGTTTGTTGGACCCATCCACCACCCCTCCCGCCCAGCCCAGTCGGACTTGGCAGCCTTAACTTTTGTCCTTGTCCCGTCGCGTTTCCCCCTGGCGCCGCCGGGTGCCGTTTAACTATAATGGCAACCGGTCGTGCATTATTCCAATGTTAAAGGACGCCTTATTTCATTGTTTTTTGACACCACAAGTCACTGCTCAAGTGCCAGATTTTAACTTTGGAGTGAGACCTGGCTCAAGAAAACACAACACCCCTTCCTTTTTTTTTCTTAAGTGGCTTAAAATTTTTGTTCATGACTAACCAGTATCTGGCCCCATAATACATCTCTGAACTTCACAACCTGGGTTCAGCGATTCAGAATCTCCTCCGTTTTCCTCAGTCCAATGTATCAACCAGAGGTGAAAGAGACTTTGTTATCAGGGTTCCCTGGCTTTGCAACACCTTACCTGATTCTTCTTCAACATAAAATACAAATGCCTTCATAAAACACATTTCTGCAAATGTGTTTTTGGATTTTCTTTTTTATCATAGTATGCACCTTGTTTCTTTCTGTGAACCAAGTTTATTTATTTTGTGTTTTGTGTGTCTCAGATGCAGCTTTTCGTATTGTTCCAACCAGACTGCAGTTCTTTGAATACGAGTCTGTGCATTTTACCTGTGAGGGGTTTAATGTCTCAGCTGGATACAAAGTGAGAAACTTGAAGGAGTTCCTTCCAAAATGTTCCAATGGCACAGAGACATCAACAGTGACCTGCACCATTGACTTTGCATTTACATCAGACAGTGGAGAATACTGGTGTGAAGGTGGAGGAGGGAGAAGCAACAGTGTCAACATCACTGTCACTGGTAGGCTGACTGAATGTAGATGCGAACTATAAAATATAGACCATCATTTTTGATTTCTAAACTACTCGGCTTATTCCACTTCTGCTGTTGAACATTTGGTCATGTTGTCCAGCTGGTTCAGTGATCCTGCAGAGTCCTGTTCATCCTGTGATGGAGGGAGAGTCTGTCACTCTGCGCTGCAGAAACAAGATGTCATCCACCAACCTTCCGACTGTCTTCTTCTATAAAAACGGCAGCTACATTGGACACAGCTCTACAGGAAACATGACCATCCGCAGTGTGTCCAAGTCTGATGAAGGACTCTACAAGTGTTACATTTCTGGAGCTGGAGTATCACCAGAGAGCTGGATGGCTGTCAGAGCTAAATGTAAAGATTATATACACACACATGTATACATATATATATATATGTAGAGGGAGAGAGAGAGAGAGAGATAGATAGATAGAAAGATAGATAGATAGATAGAACCCTACAGGCAAAAAACATTCAGGCTTCTGGGCAAATCATTCAGTGTACTGCACACAAGAACAAACTGCTGAATTGTTCAACGATACAGTGAGCAATTTGTTTGCTGTGCAAGGATAGGCAACACTAAACAGGAAACACATAAATTAAAAAAAAAATGAACAACTGAATATGTGTTAGTATTTAACATAAAATATTGTCATGGTGTTGGTTAGGTGGTGATGTGATCCTGGAGAGTCCTGCTCTTCCTGTGACTGAGGGAGAAGCTGTGACTCTGCGCTGTAGAAACAAGAAAACTCCCTCTGACCTCAGAGCTGGTTTCTACAAAGATGGCATCCTCATCAGGAACAGCTCTACAGGAGAGATGACCATCAGCAGTGTTTCCAAGTCTGATGAAGGACTCTACAAGTGCAGAATATCTGGAGCTGGAGAATCAGTGGCAAGCCTACTGGCTGTCAGAGGTGAGAAAATATTTTACTGAGTTAGTATTTCACTGCAGCCAAGGTGTTAGTAGGGCTAAAATATCCTAGAATGCTCTACAGGCAAGAGGGTGAGTCAGTACAAACTCATTTACTTCAGCCAAACACTGAACTCACAGAACTCTATTTTAAATTCTGGAGGTGAAGGCTAAAATCCAATTTCTTACGACGTGGTCAAACAACATGTTGTATACTGTAAACTAGGGGGGCAGAAACAATCAGTTGATAAGCAAATTGTGGCAACCCCACTATGATCTGGTCCATTACAAGCATACTGAACTTGTTTCTGGCTAGGGGAAAAATAACAGAGTAACAAAGATGCAGAAATCCATTGGATCAAATTATATAAATGAAGTATAATTAAATGTGACATTCACAGTGTGGAATAGGATGTTTTTAAAGCTTTAAAATGGCATTTTCGGAGTATTTAGCTTCAGTTTAATGATGTATTATCAAGTAAAACAGGAGAAGCAGGCAAGAAATGACACTGGAAGAAATTTGATTTGACCATTAAAAAATAGACGTGTCAAAGCAGACATTGAGAGGCCCAGGTGGTGGACACTGAGGGGATAGCAGGACCTGTCAGAGAGAAAGACAGTGTCCTTGTTATGCTCCATGCAGTTGCTAAAGCATTGTAAAATGCCTTCTGGAGCAATCTGGAGCCGTCACAGGCACTTTCCTCAAAGTACATATATTGTAACCAGTAGACCTGTAACCATGGTGTTTTGGGGAAATGGACTGTAACTTTTGAGGTAACGAATACCCAAAGACACACTGACATACCAAGATGTTGCTAGCAAGCTAACTTAATCTCAGCTCTGTACAGCTAAAAGCTGCAGATTAATTGATGTATGGATGTATTGATGTTAGTGGTTGAAACTGCTTGTGTGTACGTCATATTTTGTTTCACAGGAAGAAAACATGATTGGATTTTGAAATAAAAGTCTTCAAAGTTTTTTTGCCATATATTGTTAAATATGTGCACAATATTGGCTTCAGCACCTTGTTTCACAAAAACAAAGCCTTTTGTTTAAGAAACTATTTTCTGTGATCTTTCCAACATCTGACACAGAGATTAATTTTTCCCGCCTCTACTACATCCTGCTGTGGGTTGCTGTCGCTGTCATATTGTTCCTGCAGCTGCTGGTGTTGGGACTGCTCTGCTGGAAGAAACAGCTAGGTGCTAAAATTCTCCTTTAAACAATGTGATTCTGGTGATTGACTCTGAGCTCTGAAGGTCACATCACCTGCCACCAAGTACTATTAACTGTGTGAGTAACTTGACAAGAGGCCCAAACTTGGTTGTTGTCGGGTTTATGTGCTCTCTGAAGTCGGGGTCTGTACCCTGCTGTTTTTAAAGATCATTTTTTGGGGCTTTTTGCCTTTAATGGACAGGGCAGTGGGAAATGGGGAGAGAGGGGCGCCGGCACTATCCACTAAGCTACTGACGCCCCTACCCTGCTATTTTTAAACAATACATTATCTTGGCTCACACTTTTTTTAATGATCAATATGTAGAAATAAGTTTTCTCCTACTGTACCTGTGTGTGTCTACCTACCTACCTCACTTTAATTATTTTATAAAATCATACTGCTGAAATAGCCTACAGGGTGAAACATTTTGCTTTATGTTTCAGTCTTACTGGAAGCAAAGATGTATGACACAGGACCTGCAGACTGTCATCAAAAAAGACAAGAAGACAAGAAGGAGAATAAAGGTAATCAATAACAGTAACTAGGTAGATGTTTGCGGTTGTAACCAGAAAAGTTTGAGAACTTCTGTTTGATAAATTCACATCTGCTAAGCGTGCCTTTATTTTAGACGCTGCAGACGCTGCTGATAATGTGAGCCTCAACCACGGTGCAAAACCAGAGACGGAAAAAGGTAATAGGGCCCCTCAACCCCCTCAGTCTGCAGTCTTCCACACGACCAAAGTAGCTTTCTGATATCATGTCAAAACCACACTGTGTTTATATGAAGTTTCAGCATGCTACAGTGTAATGTAATGCTGACTGTAAATTACCCTTCATGACTCTGTGTCTCTTTTACAGATGAGGGTGAAGCTTTGCCTTAATCTTTTCATTCCACTTTGACCTGTGATGGCACTTTGCAAGCTCTCCATTATGGTAAGTATAACATTTTAGTCATTTAGAACCATGCAGTAGATTTCATTAATGTTTTAAGACAGTACCTGCAGTACAGCAGACTTTTTTTTTTTTTTACCTTAACCATGCACCTCTAGTTGCCTAAACTTGGTCATAGCCTTACCACAGAGGTTTCAGGTTAGAGACCACTCTTATGTGACACATTCAGTGAGTACAGGCAACGAAGGGAGGAGGACCCACACAACAGACAAGGCCAGCAGGTAGGATGAAAGGAAAGGCAGACCAAAAAGTCAAAAAAATAAAATCCAGATAAGGTTCAGGTTCTGTTGACTTGAAAGCAAAGGCATCAGCAGCATTCATAAAACTGGTAACTGACCAGGGCCAAGTGGCTGGCGCATGTACTGACAGTGCTAATTAGGGGCATTGGAAACAGGTGAGCAGGTGACAAAGGGGATCCAGCTTCACAGCAAGGAATGAGAGTAACTCTGGTCTTTTATATATGTCATCAAAATCTGTAAGTTGATGCCCAGTGGGATATCAAAGACACTTTATCTCACTTTCCTTCCACGTTGCCTTCCCCTAGTGGTAAACTACTAAACACTCTTCTACTTGTGACCAGCTGAGATGTAGCAATGCACTATTCTGCACTGAGTAAAGTGTGGTCAGTACATGTAGCAACCACCAGATGGCAGCAAATGCATCATTAATATCCTGGGCGTAATTACTCTTTAAGGTCCAGTGTGTAGTATTTAGGGGAATATGTTGGCCATTAACAAAAGATCCAGACATTCAGGAATTTTCACTGCAAGCTGTATTATCCATAGAGGTCCCTTCCTCCCCAAAACCAAATGAGCAGTTGATTTAAACCGCTAGAAACACAGAATAAAGTAGTTTCATGTTACAAATCAGTGTAACTCCAGTGCTGCTCGTTGCAGTTTGGCTTCTTACTACAGTGGCTGATGCAAAAACACAGATGGCCCTATCCAGAGGTAGTGTTTGGTTTGACTGGTCAGGGCTATTGTAGAAACATGGCATCACAACATAGCAATCTTTATAAACAGAGTTCTGCCTCCTATGCAGATATAAATGCCTCATTCTAAAATAAGGAGAACACAACAATTCATATTTTCCAGTGATTATACACTAAAGAAAACATACTTATATTATATTCCATTTCTAACAGAGAAAAAAATGTGACTATGCATAAGCATGTGTTGGACGAGACGCCAACAGCAACTGGCTTAACAGTGTCGGAAATACATGGATTTGTAACGTGAAAATATGTTGTCCTTTTTTTCCTGGTTTAAATCACCGTGTCTGTTTGTTTCGGAAAGGAAGAGACCTCTAAGCATAATTTGGCTCACTGTAAAAAACCTCCTGAACGTCTGAATCGGAAAAGGTGAGAACACATAAACTTACGAGAGATAAAGGGTTAGCACACAATGGCATGTTGTCATGTGAAACTGCTTTATTCATTTAGTGGAAATAATCACCTGGTCCATTTATTTTGGAGAGGAAGAGACCTCTGTGGATACTTCAGCTCCCAATAAAAACCTCCTAAACAATAAACACTTAAAGAATTCCGACTCAGAGAAGTTTTAGCTGGTTGCAATGTGCAATACACTGCTAGATGCCACCAAATCCCCAAACATCTTAAACACTTCACATGTAAAATATAGTCTTGTGCATTTACACCTTTTATCTCTGTGTTTCCTATGTCTTTTAGATCACTGAGGAAGAAACACTTCACTGAAGGAGCTGGAAGGACTGCTTACACCATGCTATATGTCAAAGGAACTTTAAAGACTTTTAGAAAAAGTCTTTAAAATGAACTTTGCTTGAAATAACTTAAGTATTTAGGGCTGCAACTGGTACATATGCAACATATGCTTGGTTGAATATTATGCAGGTTTTTTTTATAATAAATCTTCTAGTCACTATTTGTAAAAATAATAGCAAAGGAAACAGCAACATGTAACAATATTGTCATTTTTAAGTGATAAATTAAGTAAAGAAATGAATAAAGAAATAAGATAAGCAATGTGGGACAATGGATTGTTAAGCCCCGTCTTATCAGGCTTTCAACCACCTCTCATGTAAACTCATCTGCAGCAATAACTGACACCAAGAGCAGCTGATGTAGTTTAAAGAGAGATAAAGTCTGTGTAGGGTGGAGAGGAGGAGAGGTGGATGGATCAAACAAAACAAGACTTTCACAAAGGAGACCGCAGTTTGTGTCCTGTGTGAAACCAAAATCCATGCTGTTGCTGTAATTTACGTATGGTTATTGTACACAGATGTCACTCACAGCATGTACTTCCTTCACGCTGCATCGATGTTACGTAACAGACATGCTTATTTGATCCGAAAACATAATCTTTAGACCTTACTGTAACCATTTCATAACATTAACCACATGTTACAGGTAGTGATGGCCAAATGAGGCCTTGTCTTCATTTTCTGAAGCCACTAGATGGCGGTGTCTATTCAACAAAGGTTTGAAAACACATTTCACTGCCAGTCCTTCAGCCTTTATCTTTAAACTGAGGCTGCGAATAGTCGAATAGTCTTTTTTGCTTAGGAAGGTTCCTAACTGAGTGAAATGACCCGAAAGTATCTAAGTGGCAGCCACAATAAGCGCTGGTCGAATTCTCTAAATTTTAAGGAAAGGTGCCTCAATGCTTCCTCTCTTTTCTCCTTTAACATAGGATACACTGGACTATCCTTTTGGCTTGGAGAAAAGCAACATACTGTCAGATCAGAAGGCAGAGTCGGCTGTGCCTGTGAAGCCACAGTCCACCATGCAGTCACCAGAGACTTATTTCACCGGCTGCACAATTAATGGAAACGTGCAGATAAATGTGTATAAAGAGTAAGTGCCTGGCTCACCATGTCTGCGTTACATAGCAACGGTGACAGTTGAGTCCTGAGGGAACTATTTTTGTTGGCGGAAGACAAATAAAATGCTTAAATTATCTATTTTGTCCTCATTTTTCAACATTTCTTAATCAGCCTTGCTTATTTAACTGTTGAACTGTTGTATAAAAGCAGTATCACACTCGAGCTTGTGATGTTGTACTGTGATATCGTCACGGCTCCCTCTCGTGTGATATTGCTTAATTATACATCTTATGCCCTAACTTGTTCATATGCTATATGTTTTGAACTTTCAACAAACGGAATTTAAATTCTATGTTTCTTTGTGGGATTGAAGAAAGGGATATCATCGACGTTGTAAATAAGTTTAAGAACAAAACATCAACTGATGTAAACCTTATTGATATGTGTACACTTAAAGAGGTCATCCATAGCATTGTAAAACCTCTAACCTATATATGCAATCTTTCTTTCCAAACAGGCATCTTCCCACAAGACATGAAACTAGCCAAAGTAGTACCCATCTTTAAAAACGGTGACAGACACAATATGGACAATTATAGGCCAGTAGCTTTACTTCCACAATTTTCAAAAATTTTAGAAAAGCTCTTTATAAAACAATTAGATAACTTTATTGAAAAATATAATATTTTAAATGAACAACAATATGGATTCAGAAAGAATAGAACAACCACATATGCAGTAATGACGATGGTTGAAGAAATAGCTAATGCCATCGACAATGATCTTTATACAGTAGGTATTTTTATAGACTTAAGTAAAGCTTTTGATACTATCGATCATAACTATTTACTTTAAAAAATGGAACACTATGGATTTAGAGGGACAGTTCACGCATGGCTGAAAAGTTATTTAGAAAATAGTTAGCAATATGTTCAAATAAACCAAACAATGTCTGAACTTAAACCGGTCACCTGCGGATTGCCTCAGGGCTCCATCATTGGCCCCAAATTGTTTATTCTTTTTATTAATGACATATGCTGTGTTTCTAATAAGTTAAAATGTATTATATTTGCTGATGACACAAATTTGTACTCCTCTGGGGGAAACTTAGAAGAACTTTTGCACACTGTTGAACAAGAGCTTGGAGTGCTTAAAACCTGGTTTGATGTCAATAAATTATCTCTTAATATAAAGAAAACTAAATTTATGATATTTGGAAGCCAATCTGGAAGTGATAGTAAATTAAAAATCTCTAACATTGAAATAGGAAGGGTTTGGGAGACCAAATTCCTCGGGGTTGTGATTGATCACAAATTAAATTGGAAGAAACATGTTGAGTATGTAAAAGGGAAAATCTCAAAATCAATTGCAATCATGTATAAAACCAAAGACATGCTAAATCACAACAGTTTATATTTAATTTACTGTTCATTGATACTTCCTTATTTGACTTACTTTGTGGAAATATGGGGATCTACGTTTAAAACCACAATTGATAAAATTGTATTACAACAAAAACGAGCCATACGCATCATATACAAAGCCGGTTACTATGATCATACTAATCCATTATTTTTAAATTCCCATGTTTTGAAGTTTAGAGACTTGGTTTATTATAGAACAATGCAAATCATGTTTTAAGTAAATAATAAAACACTACCAGACAGCGTGCATAAGTTCTTCATAGTGTCTCAGAGTAAATATGAGTTGAGAGATGGAAGCAAATTTATGTTACCAAAAGCTAAAAAAGAAGTTAAAGGAAGATGCATTTCTTTTAAGGGGGTTCAGCTGTGGAACAGTGCTGATCTCAAACTAAAGCAATGTACTTCCTTTGTTATGTTCAAGAAATCATTATGTGCATTTATATTTAGGAGTTATGGCTGTAATTGAAAAACAAAAAAGGGAAAAGAGTCATGTATGTGCATGAGTACGTATGTATGTGTGTATATATGTATGTATTTTTTTGTTTGTTTGTTTTTTTTTCTTTTCCCACTTGACATCAAGAATTGTGTAGCTCAAGATGCATAGCAGGCGGGCATTAATAAGCTTCGCTTCTGCCTGAGCCTTTTTCAGTCAATTTTGTATTGTTCTTTTCTTTTGCTGCTTTGAAGTATATATATGACTGAAATAAACTAAACTAAACTAAACTAAACTAAACATTATGTTAAACTTAGACGTGATCTATGAACGTTTCGTACCCTCTGTCCACAGCTTTGTTTAACTTGTTTTATAAGAGGATAAACAAATACACAATGCATTATTTTAATTTTCCGATTTTCGTGTGAATGAGAAAAAACGGAAATCCACGTGCTTTTCCCATTTTCATCTTCAAATGGCTAATTAAAATATAAAGGAAACCAAAACCACAAACCTACTTGTTTTTCGCCTTGATAGTTATATCTATATTATCTGCCCCTACTGCATCTCAAAACATTGGCATCGGCTATGCTTATGCCCTAGATGATAGATAGATAGATTCAAGAGTATTATCTAGACCTGCTCTATGTGGAGATGACCTTTGTTGTGATTTGGCGCTATATAAATAAAATTGAATTGAAAACAATAGATCAATAATCAATGAAGTAACGTTGCGGTTCCCCACAGCAGAAACTATCACTGTCACTTTTATTATTATTTTTCACTTTTATTATTTATCTGTCTATCTATGCAGTAGGGGCACATAATATTGATATAACAATAAAAGTCAAACACAAGTTGGTTGTGGTCTAATTTCTATTCCAATTGCCCATTTGAAGAAGAAATGAATATGGATTTCCATTATTTTTTTTTATTCACACAGGAAAACAAAATAATGCATTTAATATTTGTTTATCCTGTTAAAACAAACAAGTTGAACACAGCTGTGGACGGAGGGGACACGCACCAGTAACATATGCTCAGTTTGCATCAGTCAATTTATTTGTTTGAGCGTTGTTGTATTGTCAGCCTCTAGTAATATCATTAATTAATTTTACTAATTGGGATCTAGATGGGTAAGTGTGAGCAAACATTCTCAGTGTGACAATTTCATTTCAGTTTGTGGCTGGTAGCCGATATTCCTTTTTTTAAATTCAATTCCGACCTTGGTAATTAAATAATATCTTTCACCGTGTTGTCCACGTTTATATATCCTGCATGAAACAACACGGTGAGAACGTAAAGGGCGCATTATCTAAGATGGGCTTTTTGTAGTCCATCTTTAGAACATTGTAGTTTCACCACAGCAGACCCACGCCAATAACATCCGCCGTCGCATAATTACGTAGCCCAGTGTAAGTGCTGTTGGATTCTCTCAGCACCGCAGTTGTCTTTTCCTAAGTCCTTATGAATTCTCCTTGACATCTTCCCTTGACCTCATGACGTTTTCCATCGAGGTCAAGGAAAAGTGTTTAGGAAAAGACGATAGGAGGGACTTTTCGACCGCAGCCCAAGAGTGCTATCTGGTGGAGTGAGAAAATAATGAAAACGGTTCATGAGGCTTCATTTATCCATCACTAGTTACAGGGTGTTTCAACAGTGCATCACATAGAGACACCAAGGGGCAACACAAAGCATCAGTATTTGATGACCTGTGAATGAGAATGAGTTAGATACTTACTGTACTTACAACATGCATATTCTGTCACTTAATATTTGCACCAACATTTGACCTCCACAAACTTCACTTAAATACCTTCAGGCGTGGCAATGGCAATGCTCAGATGTTACGGTGTGGTTTGGGAGAGATTTTGGGCTGCAAATGTGTAATTTCAAAAGGACCCTAAAAGTTGCTGAACACATTAAAAAACACCGTATTCCAAGAAATGAACCAGTTTAAGTGTTGTGCATACTGACTCACTGAATGTCTGTGGAGGGGCACCAAGATTTTAAATCAAGACCTTGGGATCTGCAATCAAGTGCTCTACCACTGAGCTATACCCACAAGAACACAGGTCTTGTCTTTCCACCATACGTTTTTGTTGGAAAAGTTATAGTATACCAAAACTCAGACGTTGCTTGAGTTGTTGCTGTTGCATGTCAAAGCATATTTGCATCATCTAAAAAAGTAAAAAAACATTCCAACATTTCTGTCACCAGAGCAGGTAAGGACTCTGCAGCATTTCATGGCTGTTGACAGAAAGAAGAAGACAGACTGAAAAGATTGATGGGAGCCAGAGTACTGTTTGACTTTTCACCTCCTTCAGCATCTCATAACATCTGACATCAAAGAGGAAAAAGGACCTGACCACATTAGGAGGGCAGCAACTCCCTAAGCCACCCACATATGCAAACACATGCACATACAACAGTACACATAAAACACGGCTGACAAGCCAGTGTACCAAAAGAGAAAGAGTGCCAGAGGAATCAGTCATTAGTTCAACTGATATGAAGAGGATTTGGTTACAATCAGAATGTGACAGTACAGTTGAGTTAAGGACCTCTTAGGATTTCATGTATGCTCTGTTTGAAGGCAATTCTGTCTTATAAAGTTATGTTGTTTGTTGATGTCCGATGTTCCTCTTTTCTCAAAATTATAATCTACCCATCAAAAATGACAGGAAATGATAAAACGAAAAATTGGGG